TCATTACAGAAAGCAACCCAGACCTCCACTCCTCCACCGAACTTATGAGCGCTAAGTTAAAAAGCCTACCTTCGGAAATTATTCCTTAAGCGCTTGTTTTCGTCAAGACTGCCCATATTAACGATTCCCAGGTAGAGAAAGACTAAGGTTAATGAGACTATTAGGTTAGACGAAAAGAAATGGCCCTCACTTTTGTGACATTATTTCATTAAAAAACATAAACTCTCACAGTGCATGGGTATATGTTCGGAAGGACATTTTCTGGCGCGCAGCAGGATGTATTATATGTCAGGGGACGATGGTTTCTCTTGCCAAAAACTTTGTCCGATTACGTTGAGTCCGAAACGTAGCCTACGTGTTTGCATTTGGCACGCCTTCAAGGAAGAAACCGCGATCACTGATTCTTATCATATAATGTACAAAACGTTCAACAGCAACGTTCAGCCTCTTACAAAGTTACGGTTATAGTTTCGTTGCTTCCAAGACTGGGTATTGTCGGAACATGCATACCGACCTGAGCAGTTGATAATAAAGTACTAAAAGAATCGTTGGATCGCCATCGCCAAACTACACAAGAACTTGCATAAAGGTTTGAATGCATCAACACTAAAGTTTGGCACTTTCAGATTTGACTAGTTAGGCCAATTAGAGCGGAAAATGGTTCGGCATCTCGTTACCTATGCGAAGAAACAGTACACTCTGCCAGCGTTGGAACTCTGTCCACATCCCCAAGAAAAGCAGAGTTTCTTTCTTCGTTGTGAGGGCGTCTGAGATGTCCCAAGGTAACACAATGCCGGCTGTGGTTGGCTGCAGATGTACAGCTGAGACCGACTCCGAAATCGGTCATCCACGAAACAGAAGGTCGTACTTTTGTATTGCATAACAGTACGGAAATGGTGTGGCTTGAAGTGTTGATTGTGGGTTAAGCAGTTACTGTTGAACTCCATGCATAGCAGGTCGCCTGCTTGGGGCAAAAGCTGCGTCATCAAGGGTCAATCTGTCCGATATGGAATTGATGCACAAAAGCGCAAAACGCACATGTTGCGGAAATACCCCAAAAAGAAACCGAAGAATAGGAAATGGAGCTCTGCTTCGTGTGCCAATTAGAGCAGGCCTGGCGCCTTCAGAGTACCAATCTCTCCGGCCAGTACTGCGCACGTTGGCCAGGAACAACTGCAAAATTTCGACGACAAAATTTTGAACTCCAAATTCTTTGAGTCGCACCCGAGACAGTTTTTCAAAAAATTCATCCATTTCTCGCACAGAAAAAGGAGAGAATCCACTGCTCAGGGTGGAGACTTAGGTTCTTCTGCTTTGTGGGTTTTTTTACAGTGAAATTTATTGGTGACCAAAAACGACATTTCTTATCTGCCAACCTAATATTATCCAGTGTAGTGCATTGCGACAGAAGTGTACCCTGATGAATACACTGCGTTTCATAATTATAGGTCCACCCTAAATTTCTGCTACTCCAAAGTTGCTGCGCATTTTTGGGAAATGCCGCTATTAGATCCTCGTATAGGAAACCTAACAGTGTTTTTCTGACAATGTTCTCCTGCAGTAACCAATTAACTTTCTAAGAATTTCACGTTCGTGAATGGGATCGAGGTACTCATAAAAAAAGTATTTCCCATTCTCGTGACAGTGAAGGAAAATTAAGGGGAAGCGGGGCATTATAAGCTAAGCTCAGTGAACATCGAGGTTACGTACATCGTAGTTACTCGCCTCTCTTCCCAGTAACAAGATCAAGCAGAGACAATTACGAGGGGATGGCAAAAGGGAGCCAAAATTTCATCCCAAGCCCGCGGCCTGGCTCCTAGACCTAGCAACTAAGTAGCGAAATCTCGGTCAGTGCCGGGGAGAAAGATAGTGTAGTTAAATGAGGGACGCGTTTCTTCAAGATTTGGGGGCGTTTTCTCTCGAATTGTGTAGGGTCGAACAAAGTTCGTGCTGAAATACGGACTTCCGGGGAGCAAAACACCGTGGGCGTGTAGTGACGTAGCGGGGCAATCTTGTGAGGATTGATGAAGAGCTTTCCATAGATTATTGAGCGCTTCAAGATTGCACGTCTCCATTGGCAGCGTGAAAAGGGCACTGCCAATTTATGAACGAAATTGTATGGTGCTCAGACCTTCGCGATCTTGGACTCTAGCATCCTTTTCCTTGCTACAGGAGACTGAGAATCGATCTGAAAAAGATCATTCTAGGGGCATCTTTATTTTAGGAAAAAAAGCGATACGGGGGCGTTCCGTGGAAATCGTAGCCATGGTTTTGATGTAAGTAAATTTTGGCGAAGATCCCTTATGGAGTATAAGGTCTTTTGAACGACTGAGCGGCTAGAGCTCGTGTGTGTCCTTTCAGAGACTCTTCGACAACATGCCCCTCGACCTTTGATTTTGGCACGATAACGCCGACTGTCCATGCCGGGCTTCAGCAGTGAGAATTGTGGCAGAAAATATGGCAGTACCTGGTGGCCAACATGTTAGCTGAATCAGATTCCAATAGAGAATCATTAGGCCTTAATTGCTATAAAGTTCCACAGCAGAAAAAAGCAAAATGGAACAACCGAAGAGCTGAAAACGTCGATCATCAGCGCACAGACAAATTTCGATCCTACTGTAATAGCTAATTTGATTACCAGCATTCCAAAACGTATTATTGTGTTCCTTATGACTATGGGAGGACCATCCCATTGTTGAAAATTGTGACGTTTTTTTGCTATAATAAAATCTCTCGAAAAGTGATCTGTAGTCATATTCGCGAAACGGTGAAAATACGCTCTAAAAAAGATATTTTGATTATTTTTAATCAAGATTTCTCCAAAAATCGAGTATCAAGGTTTTTCCTTATGGGGAAACTATTGGTAATAGCGGCATTTCCCAAAAATGCGCAGCAACTTTGGAATAGCAAAAATTTAGGGTGGACCTATATTTATGAAACGCAGTGTATAACTTGCTCAATCTTGAGAGTTGGGATCGTGCATTCCCTTCGTGGTCGGTGAGCCACGAGGCAGTCTTCACTGACTTTCGAAAATGTCTCAGCCTCTTCTCATCTCCCTTCCGACTTCATTTTTTGATACAGAAATCATCAACTACGAATAGCAACTAGAGCGAATATATGAGAATTTAGAAGGAGGTACTGTTTAGAATTGCCGTCAATCTCTCCAGTCCTTCACAATAAACGCACAAGAGTTATACGATTTGTAGGGCATCTGGAGACATGAGAGCACATTCAAAATCCAGGAAATGAGCAAGGAGAATTTCGATCATAATTGCATTGATTCCTTTACTGAGTCCAGCACGTTGAAATCTGTTAACGTTACCCGTCCCCCGGAAGGCTATCACGAGCCAATCCGGGAATGTCGTTCAAAAATTTGTTACTGACAATATTCACTTATGCAGGCACCTTCTATCTATCCACACGAGATTTACATCTTCCTCATGCACGTACACCTTTATCATACACGTAGCCATACATTGCGGATATACGCCGACAATCTTACAATTAGATTATCCCTATCTCATGAAGTCCTTACAGGACGACTTGCAAGTAAGAAACTCTTGTTGCCTTCTCTCTTCGAGCCCTTTACTCACAGTCTTACGTTTTGCATGAAACAGCTATTATATGGCACTAGCTTGTTAAAAATCACACCAGAAACACGACTTCGCTGAATATAGCACACATTGCGCGTGATGCACTATAACATCAGACAGAATGAGGACTCCAGGCTCACAAAAGTACGCAAGACTACAGGGGGGGGGGCAAAAAAAGTCACTTTGCCTATGGCGCACATCATCAAATTTTTCAAAGCATTCGCTGCTGCTGAGGGAAAAATTTGTTCGCTTCACTGATTTCTGTGTCTCTTCTGTATATCACCACAACCTTGGTGTGTCGGTTTGTTTGTGTGGTTTGTCTGTCTGTCCATCCGCAAAATGAAGTGAGCGATAAGGCAGTAATGGAATAAACAGGCCGCTGACAGATTTGGGTAGCTCGCAGAGCTTCCCCTATCAATATTTTCCAATAGCATGATTGTGGTATCACCCAAACGGCTGTATAAACACCTACGTGGCACACTTCGAGCCACTCCTCAAGGTGCTGCACTGGCAGCTGAAGAGCAATGGAGGGAGGAGGGGAGGATATGGAGCGGAGGAGGAAAGCAAAGCTTACGCAGGGAAATAATATCACGGCACTTGACGAGGGAGCAATCTGGTATCTCTACTGACAAAGAAACCAAAACAAAGTTGAGCAAGAACGCAAGCTGAGTTAAAGGGATCGCTGGTTCAGTTTCCCTATTTCCGAACGCCAGCCATTCTGAATTGCTTTCAGTGTTCACACTGCCACGCGGGACATACATCACTGCTCCTAACACTGAACTCTAACACGGCTTCATGACAATAATACCAATACTGATTGACCTACTATCTGTCATCTCAACTCGTGAGGCAAAGAAGCGAGCTTTTGCAATCTTTCCCTCCTATGCAAACTTGTAAGCGAGCACTTGTGGCTGAAGCAGAGACTGTCTAGCTCCTTCTCCTCACCTCCTTTTATACTATATTCCGAGGTTATCTCTTGAAAAGCTAACAACATAATCGGCACCCACGAGCTCCAAAGAGCTATACCAACATGAATAACGGTAAAAAGCACAACACATACTCAACTACATTAGAATCAATAAAAATAACAATTACAATCGCTAAAATACATCACTTAAGACTTCGTCGAGTTGCCGACACTGAAGACATTTTGTGTCGCAGTCAGGGGGTTGCTATTACAGTATGTTTCTTCCACCTCATGCATATTATCACGTTTTACCCAATGTACACTGTTTTGTCTTTTTCTCACTGTTTAATCACTCTTGTGCTGCATGAAGTACTAGGTTTATCGTTTTTTTGTTGGTTTTCAAGTTGTGCTTCGTGTGCCTATCAAACGTAATAAATGAATGAACTGACCTTATTAGTTTTTCTAAGCTATTCATCGATTGAGTGTTCGTTAGAAATGACCTCATCATTGGCCTCTCGACCTTTTCCTCAGAAAAGTAAGTGGGTAGATCAACCACTTTAGGCGGCGTGGGTTCACTTCTGTCTCCTTCGTTCCTGAAAAAAAGACATTCTTATTCTATGAGACAGATGTACTTATTCACACTTCCACAAGACTAGTGTTTGATGCCCACTAAAGTACGGCCGGCCTACGGTCGAAGCAGCTTAAAGACATGTGAAATGTAGACAGGTCGATGATAGAGAGAATGTTGAATAAGGAGAAATACACCCATCAAGGGAGGTTGTGCCTCTGATGGGACCGAGATGTGACAATTTCGGGGCGAAATACGCACTTGCTGCAACCTAACACGATCTTCCCGATGGGGAAGGCCACGTTCATGGTAGCTCTGTCCCCTAACCGATCCAATGATGTCTCGCCGTCGTTAGTAGTCGAGCCCTTTTACGTATATAGATGACTGTGCGCTTACGACTGCGATAACTTCGACAATTGCTGAGTCCCGCCCTTCTAGAAAGACAGAGGTGAAAAGGAGGTTTTCGTGGATTCCAAGCCCTCTCAGGAGTCTCCTAATTTTTGAGCACAACTGCACTATCTAGTACCTTACTTTCCTTCTGGCAGACGATCATTCCACCTTACCGCCTCTCATTAGAGTGGCATTGGTTCATCAGTTTTAAAAGGGGGCGGTGAAGACTTGTTCAAAGTACGAAGCTGTTCTTTGAAATTATTGAAGGCAATGATCACGATGGCTAAAGGCCGGTGAGTTTTTATGACGTCATTCTACATCGGTGTTAGGTCAAAACCTTCACTGCGCTGGGAGGGTTGGCCCGCTCCTTGAAGGAGGAATTCACGTTAAGAAAGAAGCTCAAGGAATGGGAAAATTTTATAGTTGGGAGACAGGCGGACCTTCCAAGGGTGATGACCGACGCGCAATTGGCAGCGATCTGACATGGCTCACTCTTGATGCGGTTGGCGGGGTACGCCTAGCGACTATCTAACCACTTGCCGGCGGTCTATATGTGGCGAGTGATTAGATAGCAGAGAGAGCGTAGTGTTGAAGAGGGCACAGCGAGAGTTGCATCTATGCGCAAATCCCGGGCAAGTCCCATTTCTCGGATTCCGGGCTGTTTCAAATGGTTTCTTCTTCATCCCTATTCAACTGACCACCTCTACCCCTTTTCCAGTGAGCTGGCTTTTCATCGTAGACTCTGCCTTCAACACCTTTCCACCAATGACGTTCAATGAGCTCATCAAAACCGCCGCACCTTCATACAGTGTGATCGCTGGTTTTAAGACGCCGAACATCGCAATTGTTTCTACACTTGACTATCGGATGGAAAGCACCTCAATTCGTTGATTTGGAGACTCAAAGGTGGGTGCAAAGATACAATTCAGATTCAAAACTGAATTTTAACAAATAAGATAGGCAATTGAAAAACTGGGGCGAGAACGGGTTTTCGAGAATCAGATTATGGTTTCTGCAGATGGCATTGTATGTCAGCCGTAGGGGTGCCCCTCCACGAAGCCCGTCGCGCGGCAAAGGATAAGTCGCAGCGCGTACTGTCGCGGTTAGGCTTCAGGTTAAACAGAGTGTACCATACTACGGCACATATCTCACAGCACGGGTGCGACTCGTCCTTTGCCGCGTCTTCTTCTCTTCATTCGCCGTGCGACGGACCTCTTGACCTCTGAAGAAGCAGTCAATGCTATGTCCTTGGAGAAGTAGACGATTATATCAGACATTTGTATCGCAGGCAGCCCTAACCCACCACCGCATTTTGCATAAAAACTACATGTCAAACGAAGCGAGTAGAGCTTAGCGAAACTTGACAATTCCACAGCTAAAGACAACTGCGTAAAAGGGCAATCTATAGTAATTATCTAAGTGCGCAATATTTTCAGCAGAACTTCTCCAGGAAGCAACGTTGCAATAACGTTGATTACATCGATCGTCGCCACTTTGCTGTGTCCAAGGCACCATCTACCGTGACCGTGACTTCACTTAAGCTCACCTGGATTAGGTCTTTCCACCTCTTCCGTGGGTCTTCTTGCGATCGCTTGCCTTACACTTCGAAGTCCACAGCTGTGTTTATCAGGTGTCGCTGTAGCTTTCTTGGCAAGTGCCCATACCATCGCATATGCTGTTCTCGTACCTTTAGCTGGATAGGGCGTCTTCATGACCGCTCTGACAACCTCGCTCCTGATTCTGTACATTCTCATCTAGCCGCAAGCCCATCTCAGCATCCTCATTTCGACAGAGTGAAGCTGTTTCTCGTGATTCTTTTTCATGGCCTGCACGCTGTAGCATCACACCTTACCACCGCTTAATACCTCTACCTCTAAGACCGTTCTGGAGCACTTTCGATCGCAGGGTTCCAGTGGATCCTCTTCATTTCATCCTTGAAGCGTTGATCCTTGCCTTTATGGTTAGTGCCTGGTCCACACAGATGTCGGCGGCTACGCTCCCGAGGTACTGGAGGTTCGCCACTTTTCAATGCTTTACCCATGTCAGTCTATGATCGCCTCTGTATCATGTTCAGAACTCAGAAACCTGGTCTTTTTGACATTCGGCAGAAGCCAGCACTTGACGTACTTCCTATTGCCCTGTAGTTCTTTGTTTTCCTCCATCAGGACGATGCCCTCAGGGGTCCAACCACCAGGGGCTCAGAGGACCTTTCAGTTTACATATAGCATCCTGACCACACCTCGATTTCGAGTGGAAGTCCAATACCTGCCTTATATCAAAAAGGGATTACCATTGCCAAGGGCTTCTATATGATCTGCTAAACGACTTACAAAGATTTGAAGAGCAATCGTGATAGAAGCCATGACGCCATTCAGGCCGACGTACTCGTACAAAATGCTGAAATAGGCACATTTGCAGTGTCTTAGGGGCTTTGACAAATTGTTACTACAAAAAACGAAGGACAAACAACATTGGAAGATGATATACGCAGCAATTCATGAAAAGTATCAGTATTGCTCAGCTTGAAAGCATCATATTGGAAGAAATGTGTTACAAGCGAACTGAGATTCCGAAATATCCCATTGAAATGAATAAAAAAAAACTCGCAAAAGGCTGCAGAATTGCAACCTCCTCAACCAATTTTGCAGTAGCAAGACTTCTTTAGACACAAGACAATTCCTTTGGACTACGTCCCTCAATAACAAAAAAGGGCAAAACTAAGGCGAAGAGTTTTTCGAGCAAACCGTAGTAAAATGGAAACCAACTATCACAAGCATGTTCCACGTACCGAATCCTGCTTCGGATTCTTTCCGTGTAAGCCTCTTTCCCTTTGTAGTCGTCTAATTGGGACCGAATTCTTTTGAAAGTGTAAAGAAATTGTTGATTGTATTCATATTCATAGATTGCTGAAAGTCACTGCATAGGGCAATCACGCATTCGAATGTCAAAACGATTTCATTCGAGAGCTTGAGCCAATAAGTGGCGCATCCACGAGCGGGACAGAATCACGTGCACTGTGAAGGGAGCACGAGATAAGCCGATATGGTTTGAATGTGAATGTAGAGGTGACCAATATGTACATAGTGCGACCGTGAGAAAAGAAATATGACTAAAGGCTCGAGAGACGGCACTCGTTTCCCCCGTTCATTTCAAATTTGGACGAACTCAATGCCAATATAGAGCCCGCGCGGAGGACTTAAAGGAATCTTCCAGGGACTATGGACCAGTGGGCGGGACCGGAAGTGGTTTTGCGACGAAATGTATGGTAGGTGCGGATTCACGTTCATGGGAAGGTTTGAAGTGAATCCTGTTCACGTTCGTGCGTTCGACACGTGGATCCGTACCTACCATGCATTTCGTCACAAAAACTTCCGGTCCCGCCCACTGGTCCATTTTCCGTGGAAGATTCCTTTAACCACCGCTGTTGGCGCTTCAATGCCGTTGCAACAACTTATCTATCGTAATAGATCTATGCAGACATTTCACATGTTATAATTAGAATATTATGTACTCGTACTGCGCAAGAAATCAGAGGCGGCTTGATATGGATTCCTAACAATATGAAGAGATTCATACAGCGCGCCATCTTCCTTCTGCAGAGCACGGTATTCCTAGAACCTGCTCTATCTTTTTTTGCCCCTTATAACTTTGCTGATAAGGCGCTTTCCGCCCCCAACATGTCGTCGACCTGGGTTCTACTCCCTCTCTGCTCATCTTACTCTTCATGAAGATTTGACACCCATAAAGTACTCCTGCCAATCTACTGAGGACGATGAGCTCCGCTGTCTGGCACCACCTTCACACAGACAAGACTTTTTTTCTTAATCTATCTGGCATTTTACGTGTTTTGAACCAGCATTATACACAATCCTTGATGATAAGATTTGGAAGAGCAAACGACTTGATGAAAAACGTGGAAAAGGGTGGAGTAATGCACGCGCAACAGCGGTCGTCAGAAGCACGGTCCGGGTTCGGGCATGTTCATCTCCCATACCAATTCGTGGTAAACTGGCGGACAAGCGTCTAATTGTGCCCCCTCCGCGGTCGGTTTGAAAGTGCATAAAAAGGTGCTGGCAGATCGTTGCCCCACAATCTGCCTCACCTTCCGCTGTCAATGCGACAGTGTAGCCGACTACTGGCACTTCAGCAACCGGAGCTGGAACTCGTGAAACTCGTATGGACACGCCTCTCCTCCAAGTAGGATGAGGCTGACAACGAGAAGATCTTGCCCGGGCGTGATCGGGTTTTCTTTTGCTGTCTTTTTCTTTTCCTGACCACTCCCCACCTCCAACTTCATTACAGAGCGCTCTTACACACCCATTGCCATTCGGCTTTGTCTTTGAGAGCGCCTCTGCGGAATTCGTAATGAACTGTTCAGAATATCGAAGACTTTGTATCTCCCTTTTCGATATGTATAAAGGGATGCAAGCTGTGTGAGCACTGACTCATTTCCGAAGAGCCAAATCTTTTTTGAAAACAAATTTTGCTTCAAAAAACGCAAGCGTCTTCTCGACAACTGATTCGAGTCACTGCTTAGCATCGGAGTCCGACAAATCTCAATTTTGACAAATTGACGGCTGTATAGTTCAATATTTGACTGCGTGGATGATAAATTTTTTGATATACAACATGATA